CTCCTAAACACAAACACAAACTGAAATTGAGGGATATCCCACCGGGGAAGGATCTGGGTGGTGTGAGTTCCATAGCAGGACAAGGAGGGCTTATGAGTGGAGGACAGACTGCCATGTGGTGGCAGAGCCTGAGCAGGAAGAGGAGAGATCCATGCAGTATGGTGACCTGATTCAGGGTGCCAGATTCCAAGCAAGGTGAAGAGGGCATCCACACCGTGGGGTGGCCTGGGTGAGCTATCAGAGTGCAAGTCGATTGAAGGGGGTGTCTATATGTAGGGATGGCCTGGCACAAGGATCAAGGCACAGACTGAGGAGGACAGTAACACTGGGGAGGGAGCAGTGGCAGTAATGCAAGCTTGGTTCATCTACCAGGGTATGGATCAAATAAATAAATATATTAAGGCTCATGGGAGTCAGGCTTCTCATCCTGAAAGGAGTGCTAAATATGGAAAGGGAGAAAGCTGGAATAATCCCTGAGGTATTGAATTAGAGTTAGAATATCAATGTGAACTCATGGATTACAGTGTTTCTGTATCCACATGACATCAATGTCAATGTCATGTATAGAAGTAAAATGTCTATGTGAGTGTGTGTGTGTTCCCTAGTACTGCCCACTGAGAAAGACTGAGAGCTGTGAAACAAAACTAGAACCAGCAGATGTTGCTCTGATTGTGGGTTTTTCTTTTTCTGAGATAAGAATCTCACTCCCATCACCCAGCCTGGAGCGCAGTGGCGTAATCATAGCTCACTGTAGCCTCCATCTCCTGGGCTTAGGTGATCTCTCAACCTCAGCCTTTTGAGTAGCTGGGACTATAGGCACATGCCACATGCCTGGATGATTGTTGTATTTTTTTTTTTGTAGAGGCAGGGTTTTGCCATATTGTTCAGGCTGGTCTAGAACTCCTGGGCTCAAGCAATCCATCTGCCATGGCCTCCCAAAGTGTTGGGATTATAGGCGTGAGCCATCATGCCTGGCCAGATTGTGGCTTCTAAATACCATTCACCACTTAAAGGAATCAGGGCTCCTTGGTAGGGTCCAGATTTGGCAAATGAAAATACAGCAAATATTTAGCAAAGAAGATATTGCATGTGATATATATGCAATATATATTTACCTGAAATTCAAATTTAACTGACTACCCTGTATTTTATGCAGCAACTTTACCCCTTGGAGATATGATTGATTCCAATACTGGGTCAGGGAAGGTACAAGGAGAGCCAGAACATTTTTTTTTTGTACAAGAAAAAAGGTAAATAATCAAGGAATGATGGGATGAAATGACACAGACATCATTTTAAAAGGACTCCCATTAGCCAAATATGGGAGCAATTTAAGCATCAAAATAGATAAATAATGATAGTAACAGGTTATAATCCATTGAACAAAATAGGACACCATGAGACTAATAGAAATAAAACAATAAAATGGAAGTTTGATGAGGAATTGAATATTTATCTAGACCTAAATATCTCCACACAAAATACTTATTAATTCCATATGGACAAAATAGTAACTTCATTGTGAAGAAGCCTGGTAGAAACCATTTTAATCAAGTGATTAAAGTGAACATCATGACTGACAGAATAAATTAAAATTGAGCGTCATCTGATAATATGCAGTAAAAACGTACAACAATGAACATGATCACTTTGGTGACGTTCCTGTTAAAAACAAACATGTTGAAACTGAGTGATGTTCCATAATGACTAGCTGTAATCTTCAAAAGTACTGAGGTCATGAAAGTCAAAGAAAAACTGAGGAACTGTTTCAGAGAAAGGACACCAAAGACATGTGACAATTAGATGCATCACATTTTCTAAAGAGAATCCATTATTTTTGTTATAAGAAATATTACCGGGATAACTGCTCAAACAATGGGATTTCAGGATTAAATATTATTAATTATCAAGGTCGGGAGGCTGAGGCAGGAGAATTGCTTGTACTCAGGAGGTGGAGGATGCAGTGGGCTGAGATTGCACCACTGTACTCCAGCCTGGGCAATGGAGCGAGACTCCATCTCCAAAACAAAACAAAAGGTGTTTTGCAATGATGATGTAAGGGACTCAAAGCCAACTATCTGGAGGCCACAAACTCATACATTAAAAAATACTCCCGAAATTAAATTGCTAGAATTTTTAAACCACAAAAAGCAAAAAAAGGAGCCTCAACATATTACTGATACTTGTAGGCAAAGCATTTGGGGAAATTGCTGTTTAAAGGAAAAACGAATAGCAGTTACGTCTGAGGTTTAGAAAGTGGCATTTCATCTCTGAGGTAGATGGTCCTTTTGTTTAATAAAAACATCTTTAAGGGTGTGTCAGACACTGGTAACTTTCTACCCTATAACTATTCTTCCTGCTTTCCTTATTAACAGAACTCAAACCTCACTTTGGACAACAATGCTCAGGGACTTCTCAGCCTTCTTTAGAGCTGGGTATGACCTTAAGATACCACTCTATCAAGAAGAGCAAAACAGAAGTGTGCTGGAAATACTGGGAAAGTACTCAGTGTGGATGTGACTCCGGAGGATTGGCAGCTTTTCTGCAAGTCATCAGGTAATGGGTTTAATGATAAAAGTCAACATGACATGGATGGCAATAAAGATGGCAAAGGAAGAGAAATATCCTGGATATGTGATGATATTATGAATATCATGATATATTGTTGTAATGTTCAATGTTTCTGGTTTTTTTTTTTTGTGAGACGGGATCTCATTCTGTTGCCCAGGCTGGAGTGCAGTGGATGGGACAATCACGCCTTACTGCAGCCTCAATCTCCTTGGGTCAGGTAATCCTCCTACGTCAGCCTCTCGAGTAGCTTGGACTACAGGTGTGTGCTACCACACCAGCTAAGTTTTGTATTTTTTGTAGAGATGGGGGTTTCACGGTTTTGCCCAGACTGGTCTCAAATTCCTGGGCTCAAGCAATCCATCTGCATTGGCCTCTCAAAGTGCTGGGATTACAGAGGTGAGTCATCATGCCAGGCCATGTTTCTATATTTTTAAAAACTGTCATAATGAAAATTTGAAAAATGACAAATAAGATTGAAAGTTTCTAGAATGCCATTTGTTTATCCTGAGAACATCCTCAGAAAATATAGATCAAATAATTTTACTTTTTTTAAGATGAAGTTTCACTCTTGTTGGCCAGGCTGGAGTGCAATGGTGCGATCTTGGATTACCACAATTTCTGCGTCTGGGGTTCAAGTGATTCTCCTGCCTCAGCCTCCCAAATAGCTTGGATTATTGGCATGCACCATCACGCCCAGCTAATTTTTGTATTTTTAGTAGAGACGGGGTTTTACTATGTTAGCCAGGCTGGTCTGGAATTCCTGACCTGAAGTGATCTGTCCATTTCGGCCTCCCAAAGTGCTGGGATTACAGGTGTGAGTCACCATGCTTGGCCTAGATCAAATAATTTCGGATGGTAGTGGCTGGGTCAAGTATTAAGCCTGGCACATTCTAGGTATCAGACTGTATGCTCCATGAAGGTAGGGACAAGTTCTTTTTTTCCCTCTTCTTATCACTGTATGTCCAGCACTTCTCTCTAGTGTTAGAAAATAGTAGGTGAGGCCAGGCGTGGTGGCTTACACTGTAATCCAAGCACTCTGGAGGCCAATGCGGGAGAATCACCTGAGGTTGGGAGTTCAAGAAGAGCCTGACCAACATGTTGAAACCCTGTCTTTTTAAAATAAATAAATAAATAATAAAAAATAAAAAACAGAAAATAGTAGGTGATAGTAAGATTTTATTGACTCAATGCATCACTACCTTTCAGAAGTTAAAACAAAAAATTTACTAATAATATTTATAATAGCCGGTCCCTTTGGTAACTCCCTATTGTTCATTCAATAATTTAACTCTGAATCTAAAGCCAGAACATTTTAAAGCCTTTGCTCTACAAGTTTAGTTACATTTAAGCCTACCTTAACATTTTTTAGTTATTTTTAAATCTTTTTACCCAATTTTTCATTTAAAAAAAGCTGGATTTTATCAATAAAAATATTTCATGACTATTTATGACAAAATCAACTGGCTTGTACCCTGAAGGATTCCTCTGAAGTTTTAAGGTTACATTTTCAACAATTATAAGTGATTCAAAGTTATTTTATTTTCTATTAAAACCAGTAGTCATCTATTATTAATTTTCAGAATTTATCTTTTTTTGCAAACCCTGATGATCAGAAAGGTAACACAGGGGAAATCTCATCATTAGTCTCTAAGTTTTCCAGGCTGATTTGTATTTTTACTGTTTTATTTATTTATTTTATTTTATTATTTTATGACAAAGTCTTACTCACTCTGTTGCCCAGGCTGGAGTGCAGTGGCATGATCTCAGCTCACTGCAACCTCTGCCTCCTGTGTTCAAGCAATTCTCATGCCTCAGCCTCCCGAGTAGCTGGGATTACAGGTGCACGCCACCACACCAAGGTAATTTTTGCATTTTTAGTAGAGACGGGGTTTCGCCATTTTGGCCAGGCTGGTTTCAAACTCCTGACCTGCTTGCCTTAGCCTCTCAAAGTGCTGGGATTATAGGCATGAGCCACTGTGCCTGGCCTGTTCTTATTTTAAAATATCATTAAATTCTGAGAGCCTCTAATATTTTACAGCACAACAAATTTATTAAGAAACTCATCACCAAATCCAAGGGCATTCCTGCAACATTTAACACTGTTTTATTTGGTAAAACTCTTTTCTCAGCTATTAAAGAAGTATAGCGATTCTTTGAAGAAGCAATGGGAACCAGTGACAGATTGGCCATAAAGGATAAAGGGGACAGTAGAGAAACTTAAAGTTTTTAAAGCAAGTTTTCTTCCATTTAACCCATTTTTAGTGCTATTATTTATATTGATCTTTATTTTTTTTTTAAATTTCCATTTGTAGCAATATTGATTTGATCCTAAATCTGTTAGGCTTAAAATAGACTTTATTCAATTGTAGAATAAGAGGGCTGCCACGTGGAAATGAACAATATTCTATAGACCTTAGGAATTAATTTACCTTATTGTTCCAGAAGACAGAGTCAGTGTGATATAATGGCAAGCGTACTGTATTTGAAGACTTGGGGTGGAGTCCAGGCTTTCTATTTACTTGCCCTCCTGACTCTGGATAAGTCAATTTCTCTGGGTCTCACCTTCCTCCAGTTTTAAAATATCACTGATTCTAAACAAAGAATGCAGAGAAAAGAAATTAATGAAAATAATCAAATATAGTATGTTGGGAAAATAGGCCAGGCAGTGACATGGATGGTATATATTTTATGTTAATGAGTGAAATTTAAAACATCCATAAATTGTAGCAGAAATGTTAGAAGGAAAGAAAAAGCCATTGTGACTTAAAAAATCAGTGAACCTGGGAAATGAAAAAATATATGCAGGGAAAACAATTACTGACATGGTTGCCTTGAGAAAAATACAAAGCAACAAAGACAAAGGTTAGTTACAGAGATTCAAGAGAATTAAAATTTTCTTTATATTCTCAAAGGAAATGAAAATACAATGAAAATAAAAACCACCATGAGGGATTGCTGGCAATCGCCTAATAGTTGGAAAATTACATTATTTTGGATGGTAAAGAAATAGAAAAGCCCTATAGGTCTACTTTTAAGAAGTTTATTAGCTGGGTGTGGTGATGCATCCCTGTGGCCTCAGTTACTTGGAATGCTGAGGTGGGAGAATCCATTGAGCCCAGGTTGAGGCTGCAGTGGGCTGTGTTCACATCGATGCACTCCACCCTGTGTGACAGAGTGACTTTGTCTCAAAAAAAAGGAGAAAGAAAAAAAGTTTATAAGGTGGGCATGGTGGCTCATACTTGTAATTCCAGCACTTTGGGAGGCTGAGGCTGGACGATTGCTTGAGTCCTGGCATTGGAGATCAGTCTGGGCAATATAGTGAGACCCTGTCTCTATAAACAATAAAAAAACTAGACGGGTGATGGCATGAACCTATAGCCCTAGCTACTTGAGAGGTGGAGGCAGGAGGATCGCTTGAGTCCAGGAGTTGGAGACCTCAGTGAGCTATGATTGAGCACTGTACTCCAGCCTTTGTGACCGAGTAAAACCCTGTCTCAAAAAAAAAAAAAGTTTATAATCAAATTAATAATAATAAACCTAGGTAAACTATAATTATTCTTATTTTGGAAGGAACTTGTCCCAGATATAACTCATTTGGCGGCATTACTGATGGTGGTGGCGGCCATTCGGAGCGGCCACTGCCATCATGCTGGCTACAGTGGGGATGTATGAGTGGTAGTGGCAGTTGTGACACCCGAGTTCCCGAGGTGGCCACTGTGCTGTCTCTCCCCCGGTCACCCATCCTTGCATAGCTGGGCTGCACCTGCTCCCAGGCTTGGAACCTCCACAGCTCCAGACCCAGGCCCTGCATCACTGCTCTTGCCCACTGCCACTGCATGGAGCACTTGGGGAGGAGGTGGACAGTCCCCAGAGCCCGCCCCTGGGAGAACCCTGGAGCACGCTGCCCTGGGGACTGCTGTGATGGGGCAAGGTTGAGCTGCCTGCCAGCATGGGAGCAGCGTGGTCAGGCAAGGAGAGGTGGGCAGAGAGGAGCCTAGCGAGGACCTGGAGTCCCCAACCTAGGTTGCAAGGAGGCACAGCTGGGGCTGCAAACTCCATGGAGCAGGCGGGAGTCCCACTCTCGTGGGCACAGGGCTAGGGCAACTCTGCACTCTGCACCCTCGGTGGGAAGGTGGAGGGGAGAGAGGGAAGGGAAGGGAAGGAAGACCCTCCTGCACCTGCAGGCCCAGTTTGTCTGTTTCCATTGGCTGGCTTCTCCCTGCTCCCAGTGCCTACTCAGATCTCGGAGCCGGATTGGGGCCAAGCCCGGCCACTGTCACAGCCCGGCTGGGTATGTGCAGGCTTGGGGGAGTGCTGACATGCCAGCCCCCTGCTGCCTCTGCCCCCTCTAGATGTCGGGCACCAATGAGCATGGGAGGGCTGAGGGCAGCTCCGAGCTGGATTACAGGCGCCCCTTTGCAGGAATAGCCTGGGTGCCATGAAAAGTGGTAGGAGGCTGGGCATGGGGGCTTGTGCCTGTAATCCCAGCATTTTGGGAGGCTGAAGTGGGCAGATTATGAGGTCAGGAGTTCGAGACCAGCCTGACCAACATGGAGAAACCCCATCTCTGCTAAAAATACAAAATTAGCTGAGTGTAGTGGCACATGCCTGTAATCCCAGCTACTCTGGAGGCTGAGACAGGAGAATCACTTGAACCCGGGAGGTAGAGGTTGCAGTGAGCCAAGATTGAGCCATTGCACTCCAGCCTGGGCAACAATGGTGAAATTCTGTCTCAAAAAAAAATAAAAATAAAAAAAAAAGTGGTAGGAGGCAGACAGACTCCAGGATGAAAAGGAGCAGGTCCCCAGTGAAGATCCACCTTTAGGCCGGGAAAGGCCTGAAGCCTGGGGGCTGGGTTGCCAATTCTGTAGAGGAGAGGGAAAACTTGTGGTTTTTTTCTTGAGCCCGCCCAAGGAGTGATCAGCGTGCACTTCCTCCCCTCTGAGGCCCATAAAAGCCCCAGGTACTGTCAGGGCTGAGCAGACCATGGATGCCCAGCTACAGAAAGGAGCTTCCTTCCTGCTGCTAGCTGAACGCTTATTAGGATGACCAGCTGTGGAGAGTAGCTACCTTCTCTGCTGAGAACTGAACACTATATTGGAATGATCTTCCTGCAAAGAGGAGCTGCCCTCTCTGCTAGGAGCTGAACACTCATTGGGACACCCTAGCTGCAGAAAGGAGCTACCCTCTGTGGGTCTCCTCTGAGCTGTTCCATTACTCAGTAACATCTTGCTCACCCTCCACTTGTCTGTGTACCTCATACTTCCTGGTCATTGGACAAGAACTTGGGACCCGCCAAATGGCAAGGCTAAAAGAGCTATAACACAAACAAGGCTGAGACATCCCCCTTGCTTGCCACATTGTGGGTGAAGAGCTTTTGGGGAGCCCAGACCTGGGAGCTTCCCAAACCAGGGCTGTGACTCCCTTTGGTTTCCTGCAGTTCCTGGCATCTCCAAGCTTCTGGGTGCCAATGTGTTCCCTGGTGCCAGCTATAGAAGCTGCTTGCAGTATGCCTGGTCCAGCCACAGCTTTGTAGAGCCGGCACACCTGGAGTTGCCTGTCCCACTGTAGCAGCTGGTGTGTCTGACTGCACAGTGACCAGACCCCACGCTTGCTCACACATGCCTCGTCGCTCCAAGCCTCACTTGCCCTTGGCAGGCAGGGGATCTAGGCTGATAGCACAAGTTGAGTGCAGCCTGCCAGGCTGAGTCAGCGGGCCTGAGCAAGACTCAGTGGTAAAGGCACCACTGGCCACAGAGGTTTCCAGCTAGAAAAGCAACACCCCAAACATCCCATAACATTACTTTACCTGTTCAAATGTGGACTACGAAAGGATATTGAAAAGTTGGGTATCTCAGAGACTTATATGTTAAATAGATAATAACACACCACAAAAGTGGAAATCCAAATAGCTAGTGGTATACAAAAAGGTCATCAACAGCATCTGTAATCAGTAATGCTAGTTAAGACCACGAGACACTACTACATACCCACCAGACAGGTAATACTGAAAAAGACTAACAATGTCAAGTGTTGTGAAGGTGTGGAGCAATGGGACTCATACATGCCTAGAGTACGTAACCCTCTAGAAAAGAACTTGGCATTATTTATTCTAGTTTATGATACATATTACCACTCTCAGGTATATGCCCTATAGAAACTTACGGTAGATGTGATGGAATACATCTATGAAGAATGTTCACATTAGCATTTATAACAGTCCTAAACTGGAAACAACCCAGATGCCCATCAGCAATAGAATGGCTAAACATATTGTCACATACTGTTACAATGAGACACTGTAATATGCAGCAATGAAAATGAACACATTACAGCTATGGGAACAACCTGAACAACATATGAATTAAAAACAATGTTGAGCAAAAGCAGCAAGAACAACAGATTACATATTATATTGTTCTAGTTACATAAAGTTCAAAAGAGTGAAACTAAACAACATATTTTTAGGGATGTATGCTTGCAACAAGACAATAAAGAAAAGCAAGGAAATGATTATCACAAATGTCAGAATAATGGCTACATTTAGGAGGGAGGCAAACAGTTGTGCTCAGGAAAGTCATGGGGCAGGGAGAGGGACTTCTGAGTTGCTGGAAATATTTTATTTCTTGACCTCGTTGATCAGTTATATGGTGGTTTCCTTTATAATCACTTATTATACTATATAATTGCTTTATGTATTTAAAGTATATTTCACAATAAAAATGTTAAAAGTAATTAATATACTGTGGATAGCATTTCTGGAGAGCAAAATTTTGCCAGATAATTTAGCTTACACAATCTTTGACAGTAAAACCCACTGATGTGGAATAACAAAACACTGATTGGTTTCTCATTAGAGTTCACTTTCAAGTGTAAAGGTCAAAAACCGTGTTATGTTTTAACACAGTATGTAAATCTTTATCATAAATTGATGAACCAGGGAAAGAACTATTAGCTAAAACTTCAGATTTTTTGGAACTTTGAATTAACTAGCTATTTCTCCTCTGGATTAATAAGCATACAAGGAACTAAAGAGATTCAGACCAAGTTGGAAATTGTGTGAACTTCCTTCTCTCCAGTCTCCAGTTGCAGCTGTTTCCTCCAGTTATCAAGCTGGGTGTTGAGGTGGGTATCTAGCCTAGTAAGCTTAGAGTGCTGTTATTAAATACTTTCTAAGTAGGTGGCTCAGGGCTTTCCTGAGTGCCATTCTGTTCTACAGCACTGAGGCTGTAAGGGGGAGCCACGGACAATGAAAACAGATCAGGCTGCCGAAAAACTCTATGTGGAACACACTTAACTGGAGGTGTTCTCTGCTGGGCTGCAGAACTCTGATGTTTCCACTCTTTTCCGTCAAAGCCCACAAAGCTTAAACTCTCTGAGGTGCTTAGCTTCACAAAATCCCCTAAATCTGTGTGTTTTACTCCTTTAATTTCCACCATTCCCCTGCTGTAATATAGGAAGAGGGGGGAAAACAAAAAATCTTTATATGGTAGCCATGTGAGACCATTACTTTTTGGTCTGATTAACTGTGAGTCTCATTTGGAAGGATGTAGCAGGGGATTGGTCATGTAAAGACAGAAAGATCCAGGGTAATTTAAGCAGGACTTTTTTTTTTTTTTTGAGACAGAGCCTTGCTCTGTCACCCAGCCTGGAGTGCAGTGGTGAGATCTCGGCTCACCGCAACCTCCGCCTCCTAGGTTCAGGTGATTCTCCTGCCTCCGGAGTAGCTGGTGTGATCTGCCCGCCTCCGCCACCGCCTCCCAAAGTGCTGGGATTACAGGCATGAGCCACCGCGCCCGGCCTTAAGCAGGATGTTTAACCTGGCTCTTGCAACTTCAGGTCAAGGGCAGTAAGGTCAGATGCTAAGTCTGTGAGACTCTCCTTGGTTTTGCCACATCCTCCTTTGCCCCTCCCACCACCTTTCCTGTAGCATTTTAATCAACAGGAGCCCTTGGATTTACCCAGTTAAAATATTCCTTAGTTTACCGTTTGCAGATGGTGGTGGCAGTAGTGGCAGAAACCCAGAGCTTCCCAAATTTGTTTATAATACACTTGCTCCTATCTCACCCCTCCTCGAGGTGGAAATACTTGTAATATCCATTACTACTGTTTTCAGAGGAGGTGGAATGTACTAGGGTCCAGCGACATAATTGTGAAATTTGCTTTCATTATTGTTGCTGCTTTAATGTCTTTCTGATACGATTGACCATTCTCATGCTATTCACTCAAGACAGATTTCTCAGGATTCGGATCCTTTTATTAAAAATTTTTTTTCCTGGAGAACTACACTTTAAACTTCATGAGTTTTTACTTGACGTTCCTTTCCAGGATAACGTCTGTAGGAAAAGCTGCACTAATAGTAATAATATTTGTTTTAGAAAGAAAATAACCTTTGAGTCAGACCTGAAACACAGGCCAACATTTCTTGATGACACTGTACACTGATGAACCAAGACGAGAAGCTCTCGAAAGCTCCAAACCGTAAGAAAGAACGATTCGTAAAAGTGTGGCACTACTAATGAAATTCTTCCCTTGAGAGTCAAAAATCCTTCCACAATCTCCCGGATGATGGTTCCCTTCCAATCCTCCCTCCCCGCCGCCCTAAAAATCTGCCCGAGGATGGGTTCCTTCCCCTGCCCAGCATTTCATCTCCTTTTCCACTGAAGACTCAGGTTGTGACTCTGTACTCAGGCCGCACCCCTGTTTCCTTTCATAGCTAGGGGGAGGGGAGGAATGTATTACAACTCATTTTTACAATGCACTGCAGTTTGAAAAGCGCTTGCACTTCCACCATATCCTATGAGCTTCGCGAGTGCCACGTGAGGAGGCATTCATTCATTCATTCATTCATCAAACATTTGCTCTGCCCGACCACACGTTATCCAGCGCTGAGTCTCACCCCACGCCACGGGAAGGGTGGGGCGCTCTCTCCCTGGGGCAGGTGCAGTGGATCAGGCCGTGGGGTAACTCCTCGATCAGTCCGGCTTTTCGAGGGCCTGTTTGGAGCCAAATGCCTCACCTTCGGGTGGTGCGCGCAGTTGCCTGAAGGCGCGGCCTGGGCCTCCTACTTCCTCCCAAAGGAGCAGTCCCACCTGCCCCGCAGGAAACCGCTACAGAGCAAGCTCTCCGGGCCGCCCTCGGGTCAGGGGTAAGATCGGGCGGCAGCTTAGGCTTGTCTCGGCTCCTCCCCTTCCTCTCTTCAGTTCTGACGCGGCCGTAGAGGCTGCAGCAGCGGCGGCGGCGGCTGCAAGTCCCGCGGCCCGAGGCGCACCCACCCGCTCGCCTATCCCCACTTCCTCTTCCCTTGGAGCGTCATCAGAGCGCGCCAGAGGCGCCCAGGGCGGGGTGGCTGGACTAGGAAAAAAGGCCCGCGGAGGAAGCCTCAGAGCGGAAAGAAGAGGGAGGGGGAGGAGAGCGGTTGCTAGGTGACTTGCGTCATCTGCAGGCGCCGCTCTCCTCCCGCCCCTCTCTCTCTAGAGTGAGGCGAGAGCCCCGCACAGAGCGAGGGAGACAGCGAACTGAGCTCCGGGCGCTGCCGCCGCCGCCGCCGCCGCCGCCGCCGAGAGTAAGAGCGAAGGAGCATCCGAGAGACTCAGCCCCTCTGCACTGGCCGCCGCTGAGACCTTCGCCCTCACCTGGGTCAGCGGGAGCCGCGGCCGCACACCTCTCCCCCCCTCACCTTCCCGGCCGGCAGCAGAGGCTGCACACGCCGGAGCCGGAGCCGGAGCCCGAGCCCGAGCCCGAGCCCGAGCCCGAGCCGGAGCCGGCGGCTTGGGGGGCAGGGAGGCGGCTACCGCGGGCCGGGACTGGGTAGCTGCTCCGCGGTGAGAGAACGCTGAGGAGGCGCCGGAGCTTCTGCCTCGTCCCGGGGCGTGGGGCGTGGGACCCCCAAGGTGTAGGGAGGGGGGTCCCAGCCGCAGCGACACATGCAGGAGCCGGGAGCGGGGGCGGCGCCGAGCGGAGCCGGCAGGGTCCCCCGCCTCGCCGCCGCCTCGGCCACCCGCCCGGGTCCGTAGCATCTTGCCCCGGAGTGTATGAGCCGGGGCCCCAACCAAGCTCTGCAACCACCCCCCCGGCCGGGGGGACTGGGACCCCGATGTGAAGCAGCGGCTGGGGCGGCGGAGAGAGCAGGACCGACGCCGCCGTCCTTTCCTCACCTTCCCCCTCCCCTCAGCCCCCTTCGGGGGTCTTCTCCCTTGGCCAGTCGCCGGCCCCCCGGCTCCTTGGCTGGACTCCGGGAGGAGTTCTTAGAGCCCCCCTCCCCCGCCCCAGCCCCCAGGGCGGCGGGGCCGGGGGGGATCCGGGGGGCCGGCCACAGCCTCCGCCCAGAGGAAACTTTATAAAAACAAAATCCAGAGCCTCCCAAACGTGACTGTCCTGGGAGAAGTGGCCCTGGACGGGCAGGAGTCGCAGCCTGAAAAGACCCAGGAAGAGGAAAAGAGGAGGTAAGCGGGGCCGCCGCCTCCTCGCCCCTGGCAGCACGGAAGAGACCCGAGTGGCCGCCTGGTTTAGCGACACGAGCCGCTTCTTCCTCAGGACCGCGCTGCCGCCTCAGTCCGAAGGAGGAAGGGAACCAGCCCACTTTCTCGGCGCCGCGGCTCTTCTCTAAAGTGTGAGTGGCCCCGTGAGAGGGAATTGAGGGGAGAAAGTGGGAGGATGCCGGCGCTTCCTCCTGGAGTTTTGCTGATGTTCCCAGGAGTGTTGGGAGTCACAAGAGGGTCTAGCTTTATTCACAGAAGGGAGAAGGTGTTAGGGAGGCCTGTATTTCGTAACTTTTTAACTCTGTACGAGTAATGCAAGTATGCAGGTTTCTCTTGGAGGAGTTCTTTCTTCAGAGTGAATACTCGCACCTTTCTGGCCAGTAATTGGCAAAGGGAAATTGAGGAAGCCAGAGGATGTGTGCGCACAGAGGCCATCTGTATCTGTAACCTTTTCCTGGTACTGTGGGTGTGTACAGTGTTCTTTTTGTTTCTGGGGTACTCTTATATAGGTTCTCAAGTGAGAACCACTTATGGACCCCCGAAAGCAAAATTCCCTTTTTAAAAAAAAAAATGAAAAAACAGTCTTGGGAGATTTTCATTTAGTACCTATTGATACAGGAGTTAATCTTCTCAGTTCCTGGGTCTGTGTGTCAGGAGACACTGTAACAGATTTCACTTAGGAACTTGATTTCTTAGGAATCACAGCTTATCTGGGGAAGAGCATTTATCACATTAATCATTTTATAAAAGTGATTTTTTTCCCCTTCACCAAGTTTTTATTTTTTTTTGGAGTAACATCTTAAATGACAACACTTTTTAATTTTGTTTGAGGTTTTGCTATTTTGTATTGTCTTTATTTCTGTATCAATTTAGGATACACTTTTGATATTTAATTCTTTCAGGAATGACTTTTTCCTTCCATTGTTTTAAAGTTGAAGTCTATAAAACCTTTGACTTGCATTTTAGTAATGTTCTCAAAGTACCAAATTAAAGTTTCATGGAAGTAATTAACATATCATATACAGTCCTTAAGGGTTAAACATAGAGTAGAATTTTATGTAAGCAGGCATAGACAGTACTATAGTGAGAATTGTGGTCCGTCTAGACAACTGTGTGGGCTCCTTCTGTCTGAAGCCACTGCTGAGAGTTGCTTTGTGGTAATGAATGTAAGCCTGGGGTTATCAGTCTATCTGAAGTTCTCCATTCAGGATCTTGATTAAATTTATTTAAAACTCAAACTTAACAATGTTTGGTCCTATTCTTTTAAAGTAATGAGTTCTGCAAGTTTATTAGCCTCTGTATTATGTGACAATTCATTTATAAATTCCATAGGCAATTTATTTATATATTCCATACCTGTGTCCATAAATTTTCAGGACACAGCCAGAGTTTGTGTTTCGAGAAATACCAGAACAAGCCTCAGTTCATCTTTCCTTACTTTTATAGTGTTTTATTATTTCTACCATCAGTTTCTCCAACTCTTGTCTTAGAATAATGTTTCTTATTTCTTTGACCACTTTTTCCTCCTCTGGAACTTCTCCCACTGTACTGTTTTTCTTTAGTTGCCTTACTATGTTTTGGTAAGGAACCTTAAATTCTGTCTTTTAAGTGTGTACTGACATGAAAATATTGAATAGTGGATGTAATGTTAGACTTAGAATCAGAGTCATGTATTTTGTTTTTCACAAAGATATGATAAAGAGAAATGTAGTCATGTAGAACCTGTATTTTGAGAAGGAGGGGAGGACAAACTAAGAAACAAACTGTAGTTTGAATGTAGGTTGCATTCTGTCAAAGTTGCTCACTAACTTTTGGACTACTTGTATTGCTTTAACTATAGATTGGTTAAAAATTTTGGTAATTTTATTTTATGTTATTTTGAGATGGAGTCTCTCTCTGTCACCCAGGCTCGAGTGCAGTGGTGCAGTCTTGGCTAACTGCAACCTCCACCTCCCAGGTTCAAGCGATTCTCCTGCCTCAGCGACCCCAGTAGCTGGAACTACAGGCGTACGCTACCATGTCTGGCTAGTGTTTTTGTATTTTTAGTGGAGATGGGGTTTCACCATGTCAGTCAGGCTGGTCTCAAACTCCTGACTTTTTTTTTGAGATGGTGTTTCGCTCTTGTTACCCAGGTTGGAGTACAATGGCGTGATCTCGGCTCACCGCAACCTCCGCCTCCTGGGTTCAGGCAATTCTCCTGCCTCAGCTTCCTGTGTAGCTGGGATTACAGGCACGCGCCACCATGCCAAGCTAATTTTTTGTATTTTTAATAGAGATGGGGTTTCAACATGTTGACCAGGATGGTCTCGATCTGTTGACCTCGTGATCCACCCGCCTTGGCCTCCCAAAGTGCTGGGATTACAGGCGTGAGCTATCCCGCCCGGCCACAAACTCCAGACTTTAAATGATACACCCACCTCGGCCTCCCAAAGTGTTGGGATTACAGGTGTGAGCCACTGTGCCCAGCCAGAATTTATTACATGTTTGAGTAGAAATGACAAAGTATTTGAGGTCCCTGTCTTTGAGATGCTTTGACTTGTAGGTGGTGGAGACAATCAAACACAAATTGCACGAAGCTACTGGGGAGATAGACCAATATTTAAGATCACACTAGATGTTAGATATTATATGGCACTTTATAGCTGTTAATGTATTTTTACATTTTTCACTAGTGAAATGTTGCTTTTGTGTAGAACTAATTGAAGTGTTAAAGCAATATCTGGAAACATTTCTTTTAGGAAGAAAAGAGCAAGTGGAGACAAAATATTTAAGACTTTTAGAATGGGGAAGCATAAGGGACAGATAAAATTATGAAGTTGGTCTGAAGGGAATACAGATGGAGGTTGTTGAGTAGTGTTAGGGTCAGTTGTGTTTGTGTAGACACATGATTACAGTCAGAGAAGCAATTGAGAAGAGTGTTCCTGAGAGAGTAGTTTCAGATGACTGGGGAGAAATTACATTTTAGGCAAAGCCATTGTGCCTGGATTGGGTTTTTTTTTTTTTTTTCTCTAGGAACCAACATTTTTACGTCATGGCTATTGAGCTATACAGAAGGAGTGAAAAAGAAGATGCTTAGTGTGTTGCTGGTAGCTTCTTACAAAAAAGAGTTTGGAAATGGGACAGTAAACTTTGTTATGGATGTTAAATTGTAGGGCAACAGTTGGGTACTGGTGTAGTTTCCAGACAGCAAGATAGTTCAGCAGGTAATACACTGAAAATGTAAAGTTGGAATTATTTTCGATATATTTAGGTTTTCCAGAGTACTGATGGAAAGTGAAGAGCTGAAAAATGGGTGTTTTTAGTTGGGAGTGGAAAATCTGAATGAATGAGACACTCCCTAAAATAGATGTTTTAAACGTGGGTAAAAGTTGAAGTTGAAAAGGAATGAGCAGGCTTTAAACATGGCCACCAGTTTAGTCCCAGGGTATATTATTCTGTATTTTTGAAACAAGCTAAAAGTTTTCTTTTTCTTTTTTCTTTTTAAATAGGGTATATAGGTCTCTTGAGATTTTAAGAAGAGTATATATAATTTCATTGTTAAAGAACTTAGAAGGACAGTTTTGTTTTCTCAAATTCATATTTTTAAAGTTCACTCTGCATTATTATCCTAAGTTTAGTCTTAATATGACGAAGTGAGGCTAAAAATAGCCAGCAGAGAAGGCTGCTTCCCTTGTTTGCAGTTGGTGTGTGTCTTTGTGTCCCATACAATGGAGGGGATATCCCTGTGTAGGCACAGCAGTGCTGAACATGCTTTTTTTCTTTTAACCTTTTTATTAAAAAACAAAAAGCAACTTGGCACTTAAAAAAATGTAGACATTTCTGTGGCTTGCATTTAGTATTAACTTTAACGAGGATTAAGGATTGTGAGGAAGGAAATACAGATTCACACTTTTTTTGTGTTTCTCATTTGGAATTCTGCGCTTTCCCGCTAGCTTCTCTGACTTCTTAAAAGAGTGATTATTCAAATGACAGAAACTCTGGGGAAGAGATATTTAGACAGGGAGATAGGTCTAAGGTGATTCTAGGGTGAAGATATAGGGATTGGATTACATGCCATATGGAGGCCTTCTCTCTTCACCTTCTACTTTCCACAAGATTTTTTATGCAGTTGAAGCCATGTTCAGATGAATTTTAAAAGGCAGCTGTTTATAGTTAACATTATTTGCCACTAAGGACAGTGGGAAGCTTGGGACTCTGATATTAGGGAGTGGTAACTTCATGTACCTTAGCAACTTTTGGATTAATAGGGAATTAGCCTTAAGGATGTGTGTATGTGTGTTAGCATCCACCAGATGACCTCCATAGGCCATGCATAGGCTCATTTCGTTGTACTTTGGAGATGGGTCTTGGAGAAGTCTTCTGATGCCTTATATCTCATTGTGTAGAGGAGGAGTTGGCAAACTTGTTTTGTAAAGGGCCAGTTAGAAAATACTTTAGGTTTTATGGGCCACATGATATATCACAACTTTCAATTCTGTTCTCATAGTGTGAAAACGGCTGTAGACAACACTGAAGTGAATGAATGTTTGCTGTGCTCCAATTGGCCCTTAGGCCGAGGTTATGGACCCCTCGTATAGACAACTGCCAAGTCCACCAACAAACAGTATCAGCTTTATTTCACTACAAAGCCAGGACTGGCTATTTTTGGTGGTCTCTGTTTTCTAGATGAGATGTTTTTCTCTGAGCTCATTTAAAATGATTCTGCATAAAACACATACTCTACTGTACAAAATACTTTTGTTTTGCCTTCATAGTGATGAAAACTATGGATTGAGGGACAGGGATGATGCCATCTCTAAAGGGATGCAGCTAAAAAGTAGGGACTACCTGCAGTTCTTACTTAAAGATAACTGCATTGGCATTTAGTGATACACTGACTTTGTTTCATGGCCTAAAGTATCTGTAAAGAAGCTTATGGGCATACTTTTGAAATTTTCTGAAAATAAATGTAAAGCATTTACTTCATATGTATGTAAAATCAGAAGTGTTTATGGTTGGTTTGAATGAGTCAAATTATAAGAACATCGAAGTTTGATACTGCTATCTCTTAAAGTCTTAATCTCTTGCAGTGACTAATTCAATGAGTAGAATTATTGGCTCCGCAGTTTACTTTTTGTTAATTTCAAGTAGT